TCTGTGGAGAGACAAAATTAACCACATTAAAAATATATTTCACACTTTTCAACCCAGAACTGAAGCCTCCGTTTCCTCTCTGGATGCAGTCTGAAATATTAATGCAATGTCTATTTAACTCTGCAGACTTCAGCTCCACTCCCACTGTTACTCAAGGATGAATTTCAAAAATGACAAAAAAGAGCATAGAAGTTAAATAAAGATAAAAAGATCAAGCGGTAACAGTTTTAAGTAAAATGAGTCATCTGTATTTTAGACATACTGAATAATAGTTGGGGATCAAGGTAAGGACAGGTTTGGTTATTAGCTAAATATCCAAGATATTTCAGAAATCTTAATAAAGATATTCATATTATTGAAAATATATAAATCAAATTAATAATTACAGAGCACCACCCTTGGAATTATTAATTTGATTTATATAGGCAATATTAAAACATTATTGCATAAATAGGGAGGGACAGTGAAAGGTGGGTCCATACACTGGCCATGACAACCAGCTGTTCCTACAATACTGTACACAAATAACCACAGGCAGCGACTCCTTCAAATGACAATAGGATTTATTCACCATAGCATAGATCAAAGATCAACAGCTTCAGCCAATAACTCACTATCATCTAATCTAAGTGAAAAATAAAATAAAACAATAGACAAAAGCATATAACGATCAGCAGACATGGTGAGGTGAAGTGTGTACAGATGTGTGTGTGTGTGAGAGAGACCATGGAAAAAGGGGGAAGAGCAAGGAAAATGGCAGACGTGGCCACATGAGTAGTCATGTGGCCAAAATGGCGAGCAGGCCCGGACCAAAATGGCGGATACACTCTTTCTGCCCTCACCCAGAATCCGGGGAGCACAGCTGGAGTGTGTGTGTGCGTGTGTGTGTGTGTGTAGAAAAGGGCACACAAAGCAGGGTTTATTAGACCGTGTTTGCCGTGGCTAGATACAATATGCTACACTCTATCACACAGAAACCAGCAGTACATTTTACATTCACTGGCGGATAGTGGCTTGGTTTAGAAACACTGGAAAAAATGCTCAATAACTGCAACTTTATCAGACAGGAACTAGTAGCAAACTTACATTGAGCAACCATTCTACTAGACTTAAGTCTTGATGCAGTGGCTTTATAGGCTTCACACAGTAATAGGAACAAAGCAAGTACCGGCCCAGTGGTGTGGCACCGATACAAACAGGAATCCTGCAGGGCACGAAAAGAACACACAGCAATAAACAGATAAAAACCTTCCACAGAGAGTTCACGACACTTGAGCTTGTACAAGGTACAATAACACAGTAATAAAACTAGTCATCTGCCCAGACAATTCACCCTGCTCTTGTCGCAGTTTCAACAGCGCAACTGATTCTCTGGCGAGATGAAACAGCCCGTTGACTTTAAGGGGTAGAGAGCAGGGCTCAGAGGTTATCCTTCTCTCAACAAGAACGGCGTGGTCTTCTTCTGCAGTTATGGAGATCCGTTCCATTGTGTATAATGGCTTCCTCCTGGATCACACGACTTTTAACTGTCCAGAGTGGCTCCTGTTAGTTAGTATTACTGTAAATAACAGTCTACCGCTGGAGGTGATCGATTCAACTGACTTGCTTGGCAATGGTTAACTTTACACGTGAAGGTGCAGAACACATTCATTTCTCACTCTGTGAAGCTGGACAGGCCCATTGAAGGAGGGACGTCTTCGTGAGCTGCATCTGTCAGAGGATCCAGCCCCTGATTTGGGACACAGCTACTGTGTACTGTCAAAAATACAACCTAGAAATGTCATGAAATGAAGGCTTGACATATCGGACTTCCCAAAGGCAAATGTTATCTCAGATCCTCAAAACTGAACATCTAGCCAATTAACAAATTGTGTGGTGAAATAATACAGCCGCTGACTGGCAGTAATGCACAAGGCATATTCTAGACAGGGATTTGATTAGATTAGATTCAGAGACAGGTTTAGAGATAAGTAGAAGATAACTGTTTATGCGTGCAAACCTGAGTAGCACCTGAGGGCTGCATTTAAGGATTCATTTCATTGTCTATTAATCTGCTGATGATTCCCGGCAATCGGCTAGGCTAGATACAAGGTTTATCATCTGGACACACAGCCTTCCTCATCCACCTGACCCAGGCACACTTAGCGGAGCTCTGCACAGTGAGTGCTATGTAAATAAAATTAATTCATTTGAGTGCATTCTTCTAGATTTCTAGAAAATGTTATAAAAACTGTTTCTCGGAGCCCACAGTGATGTCTTCACTGTTCTTGTTTGTCTGATCAGCAGTGAAAAAGCTAAACAATTTTAATTTACTGTCACATTATGACAAAGAAAAGCAGTGATTCTCACATTCAAGAAGCTGGATCCATTTCATTTTTGTCATTTCTGCTTGACAAATGATTCTAGTCTGATTGTGGCATAAGTAACAAACCTGAAGAAAATTAGAGAAAAAGGGAGCTAATTTGATCAAATCACTGATTAGTTTGCCTAGCCAGCCTTCCAAGTTTTAAAGAGACTAAACGATATCTGGGAAAGCTAGTTAACTACCAAACTGACCTTTAAATGTCACGGCAATGACGGCATGGCAATGAATTTTTAAGGAAAGTTTTGCTAAAAAAGTCTGCTTGTTAGCTAACAGCGGTACCAAGAAAGTAGTTCTGGGGTGGTGATGGCGCAGTGGATAAGGCGCATGCCTTTGGTGTGAGAGACCCAGGTTCAATCTCCCACTGTGACCCATCCACCATCTTGTCCCTGAGCAAGACACTTAACCCCTAGATCCTCCAGAGGCGTGCAACCTCTGACATGAATAACAATTGTAAGTAGCTTTGGATAAAAGCGTCAGCTAAATGAATAAATGTAACCACTGATGTTTCAATTCATGCATGTTTATATAAGCTAGTGGGACTTTTAGCCTGATGAAAAAGTTCAACTAAAAGTCTTAACAGTTCAAACCAGTTCGGTCCATTTGGATTTAAAAGGTATTTATTAACGACGTTGAGAGTAACACATTACAAAAGTAACGAAATAACAGTAATGTATTGCTTTTTGCTGTAACGCAATAATATAACGCATTGCTAAATAAAAATTGGTAATATTATACCCGTTACAATCTCATTGCAGTTTAACCGAAATGAAGTGGTGTTCTTTTTTTTTAATTCACCAACACCGCAAGCCATTTTGGCACCAGAAAAACAAATCCATGAGTAAAAGAGTAACGTTACCCCCCGCCCCCCTACCCGATCCGCGGATATAACTCTGCACATCACTAGAACCCACCTATGCCGACTCTGTTTTGAACAGCTTTTTCTACCAACGGCTCCATTTGAAGACATACAGTGCCGATGGAGCCGGTGTTCCATATATGGTCATTTGCTCTGCACAGCAAGGGAACAACGATGCTCAGTCTGTCTGTACTGCTCAGCAACAGCAACAGCCTTGTAACATGCTTCAGGTCTTGGCCAATCAGGTCTTGGCTTGTTTCAGACAGAGGCTGAAATGAAGGCCTACATGATGATGTATAGTAGTAGTATTTATATATTAGTATTTATATATATAGTCTTTACTGGTTCCCAGTCAAATTCCGCTTCACCTACAAAATCCTCCTCCTCACCTATAAATCTCTCCATGCCACTGCCCCCGGTTACCTTCTGGACTTTCTCCACCCCTACATCCCTTCACGGAACCTGCGGTCCACTGAAAAGTGCTTGCTCTCTTCAGCCTCACAGCTGAACTCGATCCCCACAGAGATCCTTGGGTCCCGTGAAAGGCACTTATATATAATATACTATAAGTTAGTGTTATTAGCTGTTAAGAGGAAAAAGATACTTTATTGTCACATACACATTGCAAAATTCATTATCTGCATTTAATCCATCCCTCAAGGGAGCAGTGGGCAGCTGCTGTGTAGCACCCAGGGACCAACTCCAGATCTTTACCAGTGTCTGGTCAATAGTACTGACTGGAGAACCTAACATGTTTTTGGTGGTGGGGGAAACTGGAGTACTCAAAGGTAACCCACGCAGACAACGGTGGACAGAGTAAAAAGGCTTTGATTGTCAGTTTCTTCTTTTGGGATGTGAAATTACAGAACAGCAATCCTGAATAACAAAGAGCTGTATTGTTTTGTATCACCCCCCCACCCCCCCACCCCATGCTGAAGAAAGGAGGCACTGCATGGCTGAATAGCACAGCAAACCACCCTCGGGTGGGGGGGTGGGGCGGGACGATAAGGAGGAATTCCTGCAGAGTCTCCTGGCAAGACAGAAGAGGCGAAGGTGCTGGTATGACGATTATAGCAACAGGAAGCAAAGCTGACTGCCTGCCTCCCACGAACACACATCTCCGCCCTTCACACACACACACACACACACACACACACACACACACACACAGTTTATCCCTCTATCCCTGTGAGGACATCTTATTGACATAATGCATTCCCTAGTCCTTTATCCTGACCTTAACTTAATCTAATCTAAACCCAAAAAACAAGTTTAAAACCTCAAACAGTCCTTTAAACTTGTGGGTCCAGCATTTTGGTCCCTACAATGCTGTTGAAGTCCCAGTTTTTGGACCACGTAAATATAGTAAAAATATAGACACACAAAAAGTCCCTAAAACAAACAGTTAAGTGTGTGGGCAGCAGCTAGTTTTTGACTGCCCACAATGAGACTAAACTGATTTTTTGTCCTCACAACATGATTAATACAAGTACACACACACACTGCATATTTTGCATAGTGGTCCATAGATTACGCTCTTGCTGTTTTCAATGATTAATTAGCTGCTGGTTCCATTATTAATGCTGTGTTTGTGTGCAGCAGAGAAGCCTCGCTGAATAATAGATTGAACCCCAACGTCGCTGCTGCTTTTCGGGAGGGCAGGGAGGGGAAGGAGGAGCAAGGATGGTTGGAGAAAAATTAGAGTGTAAGGAAAAGAAGAAGGAAAGGTCATGGGAAGAAGTCCTGCCCTGTATTTTCTTTGCAAACAGTGAATGTGAGAACGAGAATAAGAATGTTTTATTTTCTCACCTTGACATGGTTTAAACAAGGTGTTAATTGCTTCCACAATCAGTATTTGTCACGTCTATTCTCCTTATGGTTGGTAAAAACAACAGTATTTTGCTGCCTTGATGAGAAGAAATGGGCTTACAGTACACTGTGCCAGCATCATAGTAGCACACATTCAGTACATGGAATATACATAATAATATCCAGAAAAGAAATCCAACCTTCTTACCTTTTAGCTACAACTGTGCAACAAACCCCATGATCAGATCTTTCATACACTACAAAACGGATTTTCTTCTCTCTGTATGGATGTAAATGATGATTTGTAATCATAAACAGAGGATTTTAAAACAGGTTAGAGTTGAAACACTTTCCACACGTACCCTGTTTTCCTTCAGAGAACTAGTTGTGCATGTTGTACACATCGTTCATAATAATAATAATACATTTTATATTTTATTTTATTAATAATTCATTTCCATAGATGGTGGGTGAGAAGGGAGACCTTCAGCAGAAACGGGAATCCAGATTTTCGTTACAGTAATCCAATCTGGAGGAGACAAAGGCGTGGACCGGTATTTCTACATCAGCTAAGGTAAGTGTGGAGCAAAGTTTTGCAATATATCTGAGATGGTAGAAAGAAGTCTTGCAGAGGTTTTTGATATGGACTTCAAAGGTGAGTTGCTGGTCAAATCTTACACCAAGATTGATGACTGTTGTGGAGAGGGGAATGTCTTGACCAGAGATAGTTATACCGGTTATGAAGGATGACTGGACTTGAGTTGAGGTGCCAACAAGAATTGCCTCAGTTTTGGAGCTGTTCAACTGGAGGAAGTTGTGTTTCATCCGCACCTCTCATCTCCTCCAGACAGGCGGTGAGTGTTGAAGAAGATGATGATGGTGATGAAGCTGCAGTGGTGTGTGTCCAATTTCATGTACAGTTGTGTGTCATCAGCATAGCAGTGAAAGGAGACTCCATGGCGACTGATGACGTGGCCTAGGGGGAGGATGTAAATAGTGAATAGGATGGGGCTAAGGACTGACCCCTGGGGGACTCCGCAGGTGACAGTGTGTTTTGCCGGGACCTTGCATTTCTAAGTGAAATGTCATGGTTGTTGCTTGTTAATGCTCCCAGAAGATAAAATAAATCTTGCCAATAATTGTATATAAGTACTACATAACAACTGCAACAAGAATCATTAGAGCTATGCGTACAACTTACTGTGTGTGCCACTGATAAATCTATTAGCTTCAGGTGACATTCACTTTAGTGTAAAGACATTAAACTACTCAGTATTCAGTAACTGTTTTTGGTTTTTATAAGCACAAAGGATTTTTTTCACTGTCAATAAATCAACCGTTGTTACATATCATCAGCAGTGGCTCACAGAAAGCATAGGATCCCCGGAGGTTATTGTCACTGACTGCATCTGATCTCATGTTCTGAAAACATGTGCCCCGAGGAAGCGGAGAGTTCTCTGAAAAGTCTGAATCCTGAACTTTTGACTGTCTGCATAATTCTATAGTTCGAAGAATGGAACGTTTTTTTGTCATTTGTAGAATCTAAGCTTTTAAACTACATGACTTAGCTAGATAAAGATAAAAATAAAGATAAAAGTTGTTCAATACTGTGTTGCTTTGCCTACGCTATAGAAATATTAGGCAATCCCAGTGAAAATTGGCAGCCTTGCTTTCAGTCCAGGCAATTCGAGTAACAACTTTTCTATACATAATAATAATAAAATAAAAACATTTATGTTGGTTACGAGTTTTATTTTTACACAATGTGCGTAGCTGCTACAAATAGGCGGCTGACCGTTTAATGATAGTCAGTTATCAGGGGGAGAAAAACAATGATGTGTTACTGGAAATGAAGCCTAATTGTGAAGAGTGTTAGGAAAGTTTCAAAGTCCCAAAATCCTTGAAAGTTATTGAGCAATATTAGATCCTCATGTAAACACTCAGCTCAAGTCAGAAAAGGAAAACAAACAGCAGAGCCGTTAATCTGGTTTCACTGCAGAAAAGAGCAGCGTGCAGTGAACTTGGATGATGCCGAGTGTTATTCCAACATTTATTCAAATCAGTTCAAAGTGAAAACAGCTTTGTTAACGTGACAGCTGCGCTCTGAGTCTGCCAAAGCCGCATAACAATCTAATTCGTCGAGCTTGACAGAAGGAATGTGAGTTAACAGTGATGAAAAGACTCTCATTATTAACTGTGGAGAAACCCTTTAAGGGTAGTTGTCCCGGCTATTTTTGGCTCTATGGTTGTTCATTTGTAGTGTTTGTATCTTGTATGTCATCCCATCAGCTCCCTACGTGTTTATCAGACATGTGTGGAGCGCTTGTCGGTTGACGTCCATACTGCGGCGTGATGCATTCGTAATTATATACTGAACAAAATTATAAACAACACTTTTGTTTTTGACCCCATTCATCATGAGCTGAACTCAAAGATCTAAGACTTTCTCTATTTACACAAAAGGCCTATTTCTCTCAAATAGTGTTCACAAATCTGTGTTAGTGAGCACTCCTCGATTGCCGAGATAATCCATCCACCTCACAGGTGTGGCATATCAAGATGCTGATCAGACAGCAAAGGTACTGCACAGATATGCCTTAGGCTGGCCACAATAAAAGGCCACTTGAAAATGTGCAGTTTCACTGTTTTGAGGAGGTCCGGGGGGTTCTGGAAACCATCAGTATCCGGTGCCGTTGTCTGCAATCTCACGTGTACAGTGAAAACCGGGATTCCTTCGTGAAGAGAACACCTCTCCAAAGTGCCAGACGCCATCGAATATTAGCATTTGCCACTCAAGTCGGTTATGACAACAAACTGCAGTCAGGACGAGACCCAGTGAGGATGACGAGCATGCAGGTGAGCTTCCCTGAGACGTTCCTGAGATGACAGTTTGTGCAGAAATTCGTTGGTTATGCAAACCGATTGTTGCAGCAGCTGTCTGAGTGACTGGTCTCAGACGATCTCGGAGGTGAAGATGCTGGATGTGGAGGTCCTGGGCTGGTGTGGTTACACATGGTCTGCGGTTGTGAGGCCGGTTGGATGTAGAAATAAACATTCAATTCACAGGCAACAGCTCTCGTGGACATTCCTGCAGTCATGCCAATTGCACGCTCCCTCAAAACTTGCGACATCTGTGGCATTGTGCTATGTGATGGAACTGCACAATTTCAAGTGGCTTTTTATTGTGGCCAGCCTAATGCAATACCCATGCTGTCTCATCAGCATCTTGATATGCCACACCTGCGAGGTGGATGGATTATCTCGGCAAAGAAGTGCTCACTAACACAGAAATAGGCTTTTTGTGTACATAGAGAAAGTCTTAGATCTTTTAGTTCAGCTCATGATGAATGGGGGCAAAAACAAGTGTTGTGTTTATAATTTTGTTCAGTGTAGTTTAAGGACAGGTGGGTCTTTAGATTATACTCACATGTTATATGTATGTTGAAAGGGTTAAATGTGTCCATTTACTGCTGCTTTATGTGTTTACTCCATTAAATTTCAAAAAGAAAGATTGTACTTTTCACTCCACTATATTTATCTGGCAACTACCGTTACTGGTTACATTTCAGTTTGAAAAGTAACTTAAGAGCAGTGTTTTGCTGCCCTTTCTATTTAAAAGTTTTAAGCCTGCTTCACCTCTGACCACACTCAGCATCACTGTTGGGTGTGGTCAGAAATGTGCTCTGTTGCACCTGTAACCACACCCAGCAGCAATATCACTGGAGTAGAACTGCATGTCACAGCAGCAAGGTGAGTAGTTAAATCACTGGAGGTCAGCAGAAAAAAGATTCTCCGGTGTTAAGTTACTCTTTAACTATTTAATAATGATGAGATCCTAAAAAAATGCTATAAACTGTTAAAGATTAAAGCAGTTTTCCATCCGTTTGGCCTGTGACCCCTTGACCCCTAAAGGTGCTCTCCATTTCACATTTATCACACACATATGAGTTGATAGCAGTACCCCTCTAAACTTCTCACATGTATCACTTAAATAACTGTTTGGGGATCAAAAACATCAAATTATGCAATGTTTCACAAAAAAGATTATAGTAAAGTCCCAAAGATATGAGTATATTATTATAGTATAGTATATATTTGTGTAGCAGAACTTTGTTCCCCTGACATTTATCTTGTGACTCTTTGGTCGGGAACCCCTGGAACCCTAAAGTAGCTAACTGTGTATAATGTAGTTATTAATAACTATGTTAATAACTAGTAATTAATAATAATGAATTAATAGTCAGTAATAACAATCTAATAATGTCCGTATATAGATTATATATCAATCAGAGGGGGACATTTTTCTATGGAACAAGTACTTTTACTTTTTATTTTTTATGCACATTTTTCTCTCATTTTACTCAGGTAGGGTTTTGAATGCAGGACCTGTAATGAGGTACTTTTACATAAGTAAAAGATCTGAATACTTCGTACACCACTGCTGGTGATAAGTAATCCCTTCCTTACATGGCTACAAGAAATAGGGGACCAAATCTACGGTCTGAAAGAAACATGAGGATTTATTGGTCTTGAGTTTGACAAATCAAAATAGTTTCTTCATCCTTGCAGGAATTTATAATTTCATTTTGTTAGTGGTGTTTTGTCCTGACTATCTGACTGTCTACTTACTTTCAAAACGTATCCACCATGCCTCAGCAGGGAGAACACTGTCGGTGGGAACAAAAAGAGAATATTTATTCTAAAACAGCTGTAAATGTGAAAGATTTTAAGATTAAAGTGACCAGTAAATGTTTTCACTTACCTGTGCCATGTACCATGAGTATTGTACAAAATCCAAACCTATGCTAACTATGCTAACTAAAAGTTAAAATTCGGTGTTTTGTAATTTACTTTAATGTATCCATTTATTCATTCTTTGCTTCTATACCCAGCCTGTGAACACTAAAGCATGTCCACTAAACTCATGCCCATTTAGGTTGGAATGTAAATTCAATACAGCCTTGTACTTAGATAAGAAGCGACTAACATTGTGGTTTGACTTCCCTTATACTGTAGGAATCTGGGATGTACATGTTCACCATCTTATTGTTGTACCATGCTTTTGAACAGTGAACACAAACTACAGCCAAGGCTGATGGGAATATAATTAGTTTAGCAAATATTCAGTCATGAGCCAAAGTATTAGACAATTTAGACAATTCTGATCTTGTACTTTTTGCTCCACTGCATTTACTTGGCAGCTATAGTTAGTTACTTTGCAAAGAAGGATTTTAAAAACCTGTAGTGAGCAAATAACATTGTTGTTATAAAGTAAATTAAACTAGTTTTAATATGGTGCTATTTATTATAACACTTAAAATAAATACTTAAAATGTTGAATGAAGGACTTATTTGTAAACTAACTTTGTAAACTGTGATATTTTAATTTTACTTATGTAACAGATCTGAATACTTCTTCCACCACTAGCACTTTTCCCATGTTTTTGTTTTTTACACATTGAGTTCAACTGAATTTTGTTCACTGCTTCTCCTCCCTGTGGTTTGAACACATGACTGAAACATTATCTTCCTTCACGTCACAGCTGTTATTTAATTAACACAATGAATCACTTGTTCAGTCTGTACAAGAGTGTTCATAAGGTCTAATGCAACCTCAAATTGCATCTCTGACATCTCTAAATTGGATAAGCGCAGTAACATTACTGGGATTAATTATGCCCGATAGCTAAAAAAAAAAAACAATAAAACTTGGTGGTCATTTTCATGTTTTTGTTTCACTCTTTCATTCACACACTCCTCCATGAGCTGATACAATTCTACGAACTCATGAGCTTTCATAACAAGGCAGATAAGATTAAAAATGCATTGCCATCAAGCTATAACCAAGAATTGTTTGCTTGTTACTGGAAAGCCAAAATGTTGGAGATATGAGTTTGATGTTAAGCAGGCTGAAAAGCTGACAGGGAAAAGTGTAGGAGAAACACTGTCTCTCTTTCTTGTCCCTTTAAAGCTGCCATCATGTGCACTCAAGCAGAAAGATGTGGTTAACAGCCTCAAAACAAACTGCAAATTCAAAGAGGCCTCAGATGTTTGGAATGTTTTTACGACACATTAATATTAAAGTTTCTACATTCATCCTTTAAATTTCCTAAAATGGCTTGTTAGCGTTGTTAACATGCCTCATTTGAATCAGCTGCTGCAGTGGGAAGTCTGAACGCTAACAGGGAACTGAGGAAGAAGTAAGAGAGAACTGCTTAAAAATAACACTTTGCTTTATTATGAATCAAACTTCGCTTGTTCTTCTATCTTTCTCTTGTTTGGTTACTTGCTCTGACAGGATTCAGTACAGATTCAACACACACCTGACGTATGTTTAATAAATTCTCATATAACAGAGATGACAACTGCAAACTTTATCAAAATCCAAAAACTTCCAAGCTCACAACTGCAGCCATGTGTGACTGCTGTTGCTAGTAAGTACAGCACGGTCAATACAAATTTGGAAAGTTGCATTGCATTGCATTGCACTACAACAGCCCCTCCTCACCAGAGAAACGGCCATATACACTCACTGCCCACTTTATTAGGTACACCTGTTCAATTGCTTGTTAACACAAATAGCTAATCAGCATATCACATGGCAGCAACTCAGTGCATTTAGACACGTAGACGTGGTCAAGAGGACTTTGAATGTGGCATGGTTGTTGGTGCCAGACGGGCTGGCCTGAGTCTTTGAGAAACTGCTGATCTACTGGGATTTTCATTCACAACCATCTCTAGGGTTTGCAGAGAATGGTCCGAAACAGAGAACATATCCAGTAACTTAATATACCATGGTATGCAGAATACCATCTCTGAACACACAACACGTCGAACCTTGAAGCAGACGGGCTACAGCAGCAGAAGACCACACCGGGTGCCACTCCTGTCAGCTAAGAACAGGAAACTGAGCACTGGCAATTATTTTTCGGCTAAAATGATCAGCTTAAAAAGGCATAAAATAAAAGCATTACAATCTTTCTGTTTGCTGTCGAGCTTGAACACTTTAAACCCCTTTTCTCAACTTCACTGCTCTCTGCCTTTGTAGGGCCGAAAACTTTAAATAAAACAAAAAAAGTAAAGTCATTTTTAGTTTAAAGAAAGTGCTTGACCAGTGAGAGAGAGTGAGCGAGTGAGCTGGAGAAGAATGACAGGAAGTGAGGATAATGAACAGAGAGGGAAGTGGAGGAATTTCTGTATCAGAGGTTCCCACCACAGACATGCTGAGCTCCAGGCCACACACTGCTAAAAATGTCAGTGTTATTTAAATGATTTAATCTGCCAGCACAATTAAATTACATTCATTTAGCTGATGCTTTTATCCAAAGCAACTTACAATTGCTATACATATCAGAGGTTGCACGCCTCTGGATTGACTGGAGGTTAAGTGTCTTGCTCAGGGACCCAGTGGTGAATGGTGGATGTCTCACAGTGGGAAATGAACCCAGGTCTCCCACACACCAAAGGCAAGCATCTCGTCTATGTGCCACCACCACCCCATATTATATTCAGTTATATAATGGAAGTCAACAGAATTTTTTTTTAAAAACAACAAAGTGTGCTTTAACTCTGCTCAGTGATATTAGTAGCTTAAAGGTATTTATGAGCTAATGATGATTTATGGGTGTTACAGAGCAACATCAACATTAGTTACAAATATTTTTTGCAGTGCAGTGTTGTTAGGTCGTGATAATCATCAATGTTTACATTGTCTCTATTTCTGGTTATCAGGGTCTCTCTCAAACACACACACACACACACACACACACACACACACACACACGTACAAGGACCCAGATTACATCATGCTGCTTTTAATGAATTCTATTTTTGTCAACTGTAAATCTGCGACAAAAAAAGGCAAAAGGTACAGAAAGTGTGTGTGTCTGTGCATGGACTAGGTTGAGTTACAGACCTGAAAGTTGGGACATTTTTTCCCATCCTCACTTTTCAAAAGACTTTTTTGAGGGTTTAGACTTGGTTAAGGTTAAAAGCTAGGATTAAGGTCAGGGTAGGGCTACTGAACTGGTGGCTTTGAACATAGCTACTTTTCTTGGTTAAACTAAAAGATCTTACTCTTTAAAAAAAAGGTCTATTTCCGTAGATCCTTTTCATGACATTGCAGCCCTGTTTCGCTGCATGGGAAATTGAAAAAATACCAAAGTCAAGTCCTATTATTTCTTAGAACTGTTTACAGTATATAACCAAGAGGGAACCACAGGCAATATCATCTAGCTCAGGACCCCCGCAATCCTGGGACCACAGTTCTAGGACCCTAGTTCTTTTGCAACAACGCCATCTAGAGGAGTGGTTGTGGTAATGCACAACAACACGAAGGAGGTTAACCCTGTCTGCTAGCATGTCGGCCGTGAGGCATGTGCGGAGCTGTAGGGTGAACCGGTCGACATGCATATAATCAATAACTTAGGTTTAGCCACACACTTGATGATGGTTGTGGTAAGGGTAATTGGTTTCGGGGGGCTGTCAAGAGCTAGCAACATAGCTAGCGACCTAGCCAGATTGCTGGCAGTATCAAAGTAAACAAGGGTCCTAGAAATGCCGTTCCGGTCCTAGGATTGCAGTCCTGAAACTGCAGCCTCCGGTACTGCAGCTACATGCTACTCACCTCAGGTCTGAAAAGTGAAGCCAATGTGGAAGTACATTTAACCTGCATTATTTCTAACATCCAGCAGGGGGCCACTCCACTGGTTGCAAAAAGAAGTCCGATTGCATTGGACTTAATGACAAAAAGACCTTACTGATCATTTGATTTATTACCTCAGTGAACACTTTCCTAATGAGTTTATGGTCTCAGTCGTTAGATTTAAGTCTTGTTTATTACAGCATGTTATTCATTTTGTAATTTATGCTCCCATTTAGAGGAAAATAGACGATAAAGCAGGGAATGCTTTAGGACATTGCTAACTTGTGACTGACTGTTGAAAAACCTTAATGGGAATCAGCTGTTCATTTTGTTGAAAGCCTGTCTTTCTCTAGCCAAAATAAACATCCCAGTTCATTTCACAGTTAATGCAAATTACGGATGCACCTTACCTACCAAGCTAGCTAGCGCCACCCTCTCGTCCAAATATGGTCACGTCACGTCTCGTCTGGTTCCAAAAAAACAAGATGGCAACGGCTTAAATACCAAACTCCAGACTTCAAAACGTCAGTCCACAAACCAATGGGTGATGTCCATCGTCCGTAGTTTGTATGTCTGTGGTGTATACCTATCTGTGCATATATCTGTCTGTGTCTGTATCTTGTATGTCTGCAGATGGAGTTTGTGTATGTGTGTGTGTGTGTGTGTGTGTGTGTGTGTGTGTGTGTGTGTAAGACTGCAGTCAGGTGAGTCGTCCTGGCTCCTGGCTCTAAGAATCAGCTCCAAGAATAACTGGCAGCATGAACAGGCTGTTTTCACTCCCCACCCCTTCTCTGTGATTACAGATAGGACCTCCACATTCTTATCGCTCAAGTTCCCAAACACGCTGTGTTACAGCACACATGCATACACCAACACTACCACATAGCCACTCAGGACTGCACTGCAAAAAATGTCACTAGTCAGTAATTCTAATCATGTTTTCATGCTTACACTGGACACAAATTTTTAAACGTTGTTGCCGTGATGTTTCTTATTTGCTTTATGTTGGATAATGTATTTTTAAAAAACCACACGTTTAGAAAATAATAAAATACAAATTAAGTCCACTAAACTGGCATACTTTTCTGTAATATAAACATTGGCTAAATGAGCTTTTTGATAAATGAACTGGCAAGCTAAGATTTTTCATGTTAATTAAGCTGACCTAACCCTAACCCAGGACAAGGACAAGAATATTTCTAGTAACCTGCAGCCATTTAAAAACAAAAAAGGCTTTCTTTGCTGTTTCTTTGCTTGTTTGTCAAAATTTTAGCCATTAATAACACTCAGACAATTAGACCATGGCGCCAGTAGTAGGAGTAATATAATAGGAGTAACTATGAAACCTACAACGGTTGAAAAAAATGCAGATATCTCAAACTGGAACCCCCCACAAGTTTACAGTCTCATCATCACCAGCATGAGGCCTAAACCTGCCAGAATGCACAAAGGTTTTCATAGAGCTGACTTATACATCCCCACTTCACATTTGATAAACACACTGATTAAAATTAGATGTCAGCGCTACATTTAAATATGAATCTGAGTCATTGTTTTATGTACTGATAATTGACAGTTGTTAAAAAGTTGTTAAAATTGTAAAAAAAATGACAATTGACAGTTGTTAAAAAGTTTGTTACTGACAAACACTTTACAGACATGTGAATTGGGTTTTTATTCCAATGAATTTCAGCACTATTACCTCATGCTCATTGCTCAATACTCCCAAAACACTGACCATTTGATGAATACAGGTTCAAACATAAATAAGAAGATTCAACAGCGAGTTTTACTTTCATGCCAGCAGACGTCACATTTGTCCGATCTCACGTTGGAAATAATAGTGTGTGGGTGGAGGAGCCGAGCCAGACCGTTCCAAGCTAAATACATAAAATCTCACACACTTCTAAACCTTAACCTCCCACCCCACCCCTTTCTGCTCTCAGTCCTGGTCCAAATTTGGCACTGTTGGCCTCTGTGAAAAGGCATTTCCCCCGGGGGGATCTAGGCTCTGTGTAACTCTTGACAACAGTCCGAGTCTGACAACATCATGATTTTCCCACAGGAAAATAAAAACATAAACTTTGACATAACATGTTTGTGAATCAGGGGATCAAAGCTGTGAGAGGGGAGGCTTCATGGGATCCGTGTGTGCTACGCAACAAACTCAATGTAAAGCAGAAAGCAGCTTCCATTGAAGGTTTTCAAAAAGTGATCAGAAAGCAATCACACACTCCGGATGTGGAGTCATAAAAAAAGAGACAGTGCAATGTTGATGACTCTTACATTGTTACAAACAGGCTGGGATGGATATTTATGGGCTGATGAAGATTAGCAAAGTTCGATTTATCTGTTCCACAATGTCAGAAATGAATTAGCAGCTATTCTGATAATTAATTTATCATTTCTACCATTTTTTTAAGCAAACATGAAATAAATCCTCTGGTTTCAAGTTTCCAAAATGTGAGAATTTAGTTGAATATGTTTTGGACTGTTGGCCAGACAAACAAGACATTTGAACATATCCCTTGGGCTCTAAAATAGCCACAGGCATTTTTCACAGTTTTTTAATGTGTTCTTGGCAAACGATTAATCCAGAAAATAAGTGGCAAATTAATCAGTAATGACAGCAGACATGATTAGTTTGTTGCAAACCCAAAGATTAGAGATCAAATGTTTGATGGAAGTTTGTGAACACAGTTGGATAAGAGTAGAAAACAGGCAGAAAATCATGTAGCAGCATTTTAAAAATTTTTTTTTTGAAATTTATATGTTATATATTTGATATAATCTGTACCAGATTATAGCTTCAAGCTAATTTGCATCTGCAGTCTCTTTTAATTTTTTATTTATTCAGTTATGCTTCTTCGAAATCACTTTTGCTTGGATGCTTACTCTATTAGACAAAATCACACATTTTATGGGCTTTCTTATCCATTAACAGCTCCTCAATTGATTTTTAAGGAATTTTACTATACATATACACTCGCTGGTATTTGGTACACCTGTTCAATTGTTTGTGAACATAAATAGCTAATCAGCCAATCACATGGCAGCAACTCAATGCATTTAGGCATGTAGACATGGTCATGACAACTTGCTGAAGTTCAAACCGAGCATCAGAATGGTTTGTTGGTGCCAGATGGGCTGGTCTCATCTACTAGGATTTTCATGCACAACCATCTCTAAGGTTTACAGAGAATGGTCCAGTGAGAAAAATGCCTTGTTGATGTCAGAGGTCAGAGGAGAATGGGCAGACTGGTTCAAGATGACAGAAAGGCAACAGTAACTCAAATAACCACTCGTTACAACCAAGGTACGCAGAATACCATCTCTGAACGCACAACATGTCGAACGTTGAAGCAGACGGACTACAGCAGCAGAAGACCACACCGGTTGCCACTCCTGTCAGCTAAGAACAGGAAACTGGGGCTACAATTCACACAGGCTCATCAAAATTGGACAAAAGATGATTGGAGAAACGATGCCTGGTCTGATGGGTCTCGATTTCAGCTGCGACGTTCAGATGGTAGGGTCAGAATTTGGTCTAAACCGCATTGGTCCATCCTGCCTGTCTCAACGGTTCAGGCTGGTGGTGGTGGTGTAACGGTGTGGGGGACATTTACTTGGCACACTTTGGATCCCTTAGTACCAATTGAGCATTGTTTAAATGCAACAGCCTTCTTCAGTATTGCTGCTGACCACGTCCATTCCTTTGTGACCACAGTGTACCCACCTTGCCATCTGCCTTGTACCTAATAAAGTGGCCTGTGAGTGTACGTACAGTACTGTGTTTAATCAAATTGTATGTGTATCTTTCTAAGCATATATAAAATTTTCTCTTTCAATGACCCAAAAATAATTGTATTAGTCTGGGAAGTTTTATGTCCAGTGATGGTCTAAATGCTGTTTCTTTGACTTTTACAGGCATGTAAACTGTCAAATTATCAATCCACAGCCGAAACAAAAATCCCAGAAATATTAGTATTGCTTTTTAGAAAACATTATTGATCAAAACTTAGTTACATCATCAAAAAAAATTTGAAGTGCGGCCTATATCAACAAACACAAATATTTGTAATGGACTTTTCCTCCACAGCATCTCTCAATTATGTTACAGCTACATGCTGGTGTTGTGGATGCTCTGGAGCCCGGATCACACAGTTCGGACCAAACAAATAGTTCTTACGGGACAATGCCACATTCTTCAGTGTACTCACTACCGATCAAAAACTTTCATGTGAACCTTATCAATTGCATCAAACACAAACAGTCAGGTCATGTGAGCGCAGCAGGAAAGGCTGCTTGGCACAGAAACAGAACAGTCATGGGAGCCAAATAGAGCTGGAGCCGGAGGAATGCATTACATGTGGAAGGAGTACAGTCGTCACATTACAAAAACACATCTGGACTGGTTCTGTAATCAGCTACAGGGGGATTAAACACCGTGACACTGTAATCACACTTGTAATTACGTGCTGGACTAGAAACATTTTTATTTTCATACGTTTAATCTCTGTGGAGTTAGGCATCAAGAATAAATATTGTCTGAAATGATTTAATCCAGGAGCACAAGTCAGTGTACAAAAACAGTGTACAGTCAGTTGATTTTTTTGTTTTTTTCAGAAAGGCCCAGGAACACCAGCTTTTATAACGGCAAAAATTTGCGGAAAAATCATCTGTTCAGCAGATTCACTCACAAGTAAATCAACTCAAATGTTTCGCAAGTTCCAACTTTGATGAACTTCAACACACAAATTTGCACCGTTGACCAGTAAAGAAATTTCTGATAGATTCTTTGCTGTGTTGTACAATAAATACATATTCTATATTATCCTCTTCTGCCGGAGTACAAACCGTACTATAGTAGGGGAATGTCTTTTTTTACAGGAGACAATGTTATGAATGCGTCTTGAATAAACTGTGAGAACATATTGTTCTGTCTAGCTTGCCAACTGCTCAAGCATGTTCTCTGGCTCGTTAGCACTTCAGCTACAATAGTTCACAAGTAGTCACTACATCACATAGCTACATAGCACCACCTATTTTGCTGGGATGTGTTGATGAACTTCACTGTGCCGTGGCTTAAGTCTACGTAATTTCTCCACTATTATTTTTTGGTTTTGTATGCACTGTCATAAAATAAGCAACCTGGCTGCCAAATGTAAGCTGCAGTTTGCATCATGATCCGATTTCCTTGTGGATTTATTGGGACACGTTTCACTGAATAAAACAAACCCAAACATTTCCATGCAAGAGCCCTGAAAAATGTTTTGGAACCATCATTTGTGAAGTGTGATCTTGCCACCACTCGACATTTTTGTAGGAGCTGTTCTCATTTCTGAAGCCTGAAATAAGCAAGTTGAAAAACGAGTTCTTCTTGCTCATTTTTGTCTCCTCTGTTTGTCTGTGAGGATGGAGAAGGAATGCTACAGTTTTATTTTATGCTAATATACACGGTTAAGAAAATACAGCTAAAAAAAGACAAGTAATTCAAACCAGTACAGTTATCTGTAGTGATCATAAATGAGCTGCAAACCTGTTTTCAATGTGCTGTAAAATACAAAAAAAGTCAAACTTTAAATTTTTTTTAACAATATTGGAAAAGTGTCTCCTAACCAGGCTCAATACTGAATGTATTAACAAGTCCTCCTCCCATCCTGGATTCTGGGTTGCTAAGGGATTAAGCAAGGATAGTTAATCTCGATTAGATTAGGTCTTCCCAATTGTACTGCAATAAAGAGTTTGATGGTGCATTTGCAGGTTTTTTAGTACCAAATCAATCCAAAACACAGTAACATCAGAATATTTCATTTTAATCACACAATTACAATAATCTGCAGGAGATTTTCAAAGTAACTTGTACAGATCACATGCTGAATAGCAAACGGCTCAACCAGAGTAAAGATACCAAAAGCCCTTTCATTCAGACTTTTCTTCTACTATTATTGATTTGTTGTGGTTTGGGGGAAAACCAGCATGCTGTATTGCACTAACTTCCACTGTTGAGCAGCATCACACTGCTGACGAGAGAAAATAACACAAAACTGTTCACAGTCATTTATACTTTGAGACCTTTGATGCTTTACTTCTTGAAACTTCATGAACTCTGTTTCCATAACTTTAAAAAGAAAAATGTTGTTGTTATTTTAAACTCCTAACAAAACTTCACTTTTTGCAGATTTGCATCAATTTTGTCCCGACAGCAGTGACACGAAAAGATCACAGGCGTGCCAGAAGGTTTTCTGCAGGTCATTCTTGTTTTCTGACAAAAACTGTACAGGAACAAACAGGAACTCTTGGCCCTCATAAAACAAGATATCTGTGCACAACAGTAGTTAGCATACTAAGACAAGGAGTAAAATCAGTAAATTGCGCTCAGTAGCATCATGAGACAGGACTATCGATTCAGAATGAACCAGAATCATGCAGTTTAAGTCTGTCGGTGGAGCATCTTTCACAACAAATCGGGAGGAGGAATAAAACATGTCAGCACTTTACAGGAAATAACATTTTTATAGCAGATACTGAATACATAAGACATACTGTTATATAGAAAAATGCTATATAAATAGAACATATTGGGGGCAGCAGAGTCAGTGGGACGTTTGATCCCCCTGACAGTAGCTGGTGCCTATAGGGGAAATGTAAATAAACCAGAAACTATAATCCTCATTACCTTACAGCAATAGCTGCTCTTAAAGTCACAATGAAATAAAACATGGCCCAACATTGCTCAGTTGGTGGTTTCTTTGTGACAAAGATTACAAGAAATGGGACCGCAGGTTGTTTAGCCTTAGGGCTAATTCTGGCTCATTTACTGCAATGTATCCCTATTAAATAAACCACTAAATACATAAATACACAAAAAATTACACCAGAGTGCAGCATCTGTTGTTCAGTTTTGTACTTTACTGCATGTTTTGCATGCTGTATTTACAGAAAAAACTTACAGTTCTATAGCATATTTGGGGTTTTTTTTAGATAAAACAGTAGAAAAACAGATATAAATTCTGATTTTGTCCCAAATATGCCCTTTTCCTTTGAAAATACCATTGTATGCAGGAGCCCAAACCATGAAAACAGTCCCAGGCAAAAAGTACACACGTATGTGGACAAACTTTGGATATATAGTGTTATAATGTGTTTCAATCCACCCATGCAGTTTCTTTCTTTTTTGTTTCCTCTCCTTTTTCAGCCACAAATTAGTCAAATTCAGGAGCAAGACGCTCTCAGAAATTCCATTTCATTGTGACTTCAAAACCAAACTCTAGATCTCAAAAGGTCTCAAGTCTTTCTTCAGAATATAGAGAAACACTTTTCCAACACTGTAAAAAAAAATAATAATAAACAGGTTCAGTCTCTAGTGCAGCATGTCAGATCACTTGGCTGTGACAAATAAGTTATCTTATAAAACATAACATCACTTTATCCACAAAATCATTTGTAATCCTGACGGTTTACTTCTACATCAGGGGCTGCCAAAAATTCCCCAAAGAGCACAGTTAGCCACTGTTTAAATATTTAAACTCTGAAGTGTATTTACATGAAGCCAAAAAGGCCACAAGCTGTCACTAGCTCTCATAAAAGTGCTCTGACCCTCTTACACTCTGACGTCGGGCTTGTGATGCATGGCAATACCACTTCTCTTCCACTTTACATTGATTTGAACAGCTATCAGCTTGCTTGAGGGCTAAAAAGAGAGACACGAGCAATAAACTTACAGATTACAATGAAGTTAGTCCTTGCATCAAAGCCGTGTGGATCCCAGCAGATTCATTATCAACACTGACAGCGACCGCACAACAAGTCAGGAGGTGATAATCTTATGGCGTTACGTCTTGTGATTTACAAATCATGTATCTTTCAGCTGAGATCAAAGGCAAACAGCCCAGAGGCTTAAATAACTGCTGATAAACCTGAGGAGGAAACGCAAACAGAGAATAAAACTCTCCAAATAGATACAACTTATTTATTGGCGAGGATCCGCCAGTGTCTGCTGGCAGGAAAACTTCCCAGGTCAGCGGCCATCTTAGAAAGTAAAGCTAACTCTTAAATCAACATTTTCATGTGAAACCCGAGGCTGTGTAAACGTACTTGGAGCTTCCCACTAACACCCAACTTCAATAGAGAAGAATCCTTTTGATAAAACACACACGAGCTCCTAAATAACCTTCAATCTTCTTTCTGGGAAATGAGCTTAAGGTCCATCCGATGCACATTTTTAACTCACACACACAGGCTGATTATCAGATGATTTTTTGGTAAATAATATTTATACACTAACTCATTAGAATCTGGAGTTTCCCAAAGGGAAACAGATCAGCAGTATCTTTCAAGTGTTGTTTTTTGCATCACCTACTTCTACCCTGAAAGAACCAATTTGCTGATTTTTCAGTCAGGCTTGAAAATGTTTAAAATATTATTTGCATTTCAGTGGCTTGCACAACACAAGTCGTGTTGTGCTTTCCTTTTTTGCATCTGGGAGTTCTTAAGTCAGTGCAGGCGGAGCTGTTAATAAAATCCTCTGAACTGACACGATTCTTCGTCCTACAGTGCACTGTCTTCATCAGCATAAACTTTACGTTACTCCGTGTCACCAGCTTGTCATCCTTGCAGCAATGAAAGAGCAGCATCACACTGAAGAGCATTTGAGAAAGACCCAGAAGGAATTTCACAGACTCCCCTTTCCACAAAATCAGCCTTTGAGACGAACAACAGGCATCTGCACGGGCACCTCTCTGTGCTCAGCGCAGAGGGTCCTCAACACACTTCATTGCTGGACCAAAAAGACCTGTGTCATGCTATGCAGCTGAGAGCAAAGCACACATAGAGGGCTGATTCCTCCAAAGTGAGCGAACCGAATCCATCGTCAATAGGGCTCATCCTTGGCATCAAGGGTCTGGTCGCGGGCTGACTGGAGCTGGAGCCTTCTTGGCATCTGTGCAGCCGAGGCAGGAAGTAAACAACGGACTAAAGAGGCGGCAGAGACCTTTCCGGAAGACGCTGTTGGAGAGGCTGTAGATGAGACAGTTACAGAAGCTGTTGCTAATGGCCAACCATGTTGTGAGGAAGGACGCCACCTTGTGGTGATACAGCCCAGCGCTCTCCAGGAGGAAGTAGAGGATGTACGGCATCCACAGCACATAGAAGACGCTGGTGATGCGGAACAGCACCATGGCGTAGCGTTTGTCCGGGCAGCCCTCGCACCGCTCTCCCCGCTCGCCCTTATCGGCATCAGTCTGTGAGCTAAAGCGGGCGTGGCGCTGGGTGATCTCCTTTGTGTGCTGCCTGCAGATCCTGAATATACTCCCATAGGTGAAGCAGACCGTGAGAGCTGCTGGTGCGTAGAGCAGCCCCACAATGAAGGTGCTGAACGCTGGGTTGGTCTTCCAGGAGTCTGCACACCACTGAAATATGTCCCCGTGGTAACCCGGCTTCCCCCAGCCAAAGAACGAGGGCAGAAAGATCACAGCGGAGTAAACCCAGATGAGGACGATACACACCCTCAGCCGGCATGGTGTCACCAGCGTGGCGTACGACAGCGGGCGGGTGATGGCGATGTAGCGGTCCACGCTGATGCATGCCAGCGAGGCCATAGAGACGCTCTTCAGCACGGAAACCATGTAGCCAAACACCTTACAGGTGAGCTCCTCATTCAGGCCTCGGAGGTAGTGGAGGAGGGACAGCGAGGGCACCAGGCAGCTGACGCCCACCAGCAGGTCGGCATAGGCCATGGTCTGGATGAAGTGGCTGGTGGTGTGGTGGTGCAGCAGTGGGGCGCAGTGGAAGACGAAGATCACCACTAGGTTGCCGGCGATGATGAGCACAGTGAGGAAGAGGATGACGACCACCTCCAGCACACAGGTATCAAGTCTATGGGAGTATCCCACGGAGCCCAGCAGGCAGAACGGTGGAGAGCTGCTTTGGTTAGCATCAGAGGAAGAGTTCATGTTTGGACTGGAGGGAGGAGGGAGCAGAAGGGGGACGGTTTCAGCTCAACGCAGCGGTCATCCCGTCAACCAAGTCTCTTTTTTTAATACTGAAGTTGCTCGTCCCGTCCTCTGCTCCAAAATGCCTCCTGTTCTTCTTAAATCAGCATCTTTTCTCCCTCAGCGGGCAGGGAGCTCATCCTTAAAGTAGCAGTAATCCATCTGTGTATGCAAAACGCAGCCAGGCTCTGCTGCTGCTGCTGCTGCTGCTGCTGCTTCTGGGTCTGAAATATGTGCATCTGTGCAACCTCGAGAAAAAATCCCCAACGTGGAACAAGAGATGACAGTCTGATGCTGCAGTGCAAACCGTCCTCCCTTCGCAGCTGTTTATCATACCCCCCCAGTGGACTGCAAATCCTGAGGTAAGCACTCTGCTCCGGCACGCAGCCACCAAAAAAAATCCAGGCATCCACTTCTGCTCTTTGAGTGCCAGAAAAGGAAAACGGAGGGAAAAGCAATGCCGGCAGCTCCGATATTAACACTCCTCCATGGTGACAGGGACAGCCGTCGCAGCAAACAAAAGCAAGAGAGTCCAAACAAACAGCGTTGGATCTGGAAGTGTGCGGACATGGGAGTCCTGGAGACGGACGAGCGCAGGCAGGCAAACATCCAGAGGTGATGGATAAAGTCACCAGGATTTCTTCTCTGTGAAGCTTCTAGTGAGGCTCAGAGGCAGCCGGCTGACTTCCACTGAGTGTGCGTGTGCACACGTGAAGTGAGAGTGTGTATGCGTGAATGTGTATGAGAGGGAAAGCGAGAGAGAGAGAAAGAGGCCAGGGAGGCAGGCAGTAAACTGCCTCTCCTCTCTGCTGTAGTGGCAGTACTGATGCAGTGCTGCCACTGCTGCTTCCCTCTCCTCCCCTTACTCGCTCTCTCTCTCTGTCTCTCTCTCTCTCTCTCACACACACACACTGGTGTTCCTTCCCCTCTTTCTCACACACACATTTTTCCTCCCTTCCCTTTTTTCATGCTCCCTCCTAGCCGGCTCCCCCCACCATTTTTTCTTTCACACACTCTCATTCTGACTCCTTCTCTTCCCTCCCCCATCTCCCTCACTCCTTTTCCGTTTTTTTCCCTTTTTCACATTTCAGGTACGGTTACTGTATTTCCACTATACAACACCATTACTGTAGGAAAAACTTTTTTGGGTAAAGACAATATCTCAGTAGGGCAGATTTGCTGGTGGTCTAACAGCATTTCAGTAACATATCAGTGCTTACCAGGATCACCCCAAGGAGATTCATAACAACAGACAACTTATTTTATTGGATTTCAAGTGATATCATGATCCATATTTCTTTGAGTCATCTTTTTGTTTGAGTTTCTAGAGTTTTTACTCTTACTACTTACTATAATTTAATTATTGTTTTATTATATTATTGTTTATTTTTTATTCTATCCATTTTGTGGATTTTCCAGCCATTTCTCTCAATTTGAAAACACGTAGGATGTGTATGCCATCCCCTCCAGTTCCATTGGGAATGTAATCCACTTTAGTGACTTGATGAGACGGTGACGGTGATTTCCTTCAGTTCTTTTTAAAACCATCATTCAATAAGAACTGGTCATGTTGAAATAAACGTATGTTTTTTTTGCTTGGTCGTGTCTTATTACAAGGTAGATTTATGTGTCACAATACAACAGGTTGTAGAGTGAAATTGAGTTTGTAATTGTTATTCAGTGTTATTCCATTCTGCGGATAATTATGTGAATATCACTGACATTTGTTCTTCTTTTTTATGTTTGTGTTTTTATGTATCTAATCTTAGCACTGAAAAAATCTGTTTCAGGCATGCGAGGAAATGAAGTCAATGCTATAAAAGGGATTATCCCATTTTGCTGTTTATGTTTCAGTTGAAGGTACGTGATGAACGGTGGTTTATACTGTATATAGAAGCATTTTATATTTTCTCTAGTAATTTAGAAAGTAACAAATTGTTTTTATCATTTGCTCATCACGGCGGCACGGTGGTGCAGTGGTTAGCACTGTCGCCTCACAGCAAGAAGGTCGAAGGTCGGTTGCCACGGCCTTTCTGTGTGGAGTTTGCATGTTCTCCCCGTGTCTGTGTGGGTCCAGACATGCGGATGGTGACCCTAAATTATCTTTAGGTGTGAGCGTGAGTGGTTGTTTGTCTATGTGTGGCCCTGCGATGGACTGGCGACCTGTCCAGGGTGTACCCCGTCTTTCGCCCGATGTCAGCTGGGATTGGCTCCAGCCCCCCGCGACCCTGTACGCAGGATAAGCGGTTGACGATGGATGGATGGACTTGATTGGTTTTACAATATGTATAGGCTACTATTTGCAACCAATGACTGAATAGACATCCGAATATATTAGCTACTTAATGTTTGTCAATCAGTTGTGTCATCATACCTCAATCAGTAGATTCAGTAAATGTTAATTAATTCATAACAGTCCTGCTCCTGTGGAAATTTAACTTCACCTCTCTGCTGTATTTCTTCAAATCCTTTGGTTCCTCGTCGTTTCTGTAACGGTATTACTGAGGGGTGAGAGGACGGAGGGAAGCATAGACATGGCATGTCTTTCACCCCTCGCGCCTCGAAGGAAGCCCATCCCCCTCCACATCTGTTAGCCAATGAGCAGTAAGCAGGTTTCCATCTCCACAGAGATGGCTCACGACCACCCACGTGCACACACACACACGCCCTCCCTGGCAGGCTTCCCTGTATGTATGAAGTGGCAACACACACGTGTTCAGAGACACAGCGGGAGATGTTCATACATATGTGCACGCACACACACACACACACACACACACACACCTCAGAGGAGAATAAAGTGAGGATAATCTTTTATCCAGTGAAAGGAGAGATGAAAAGATGGAACGACGATAAAGAATGGAAGAGAAAGGAAATAAGATTGAGCCGGTAAAGGTGTGACGGAAAGAACAAAACTGAAAAAAGATGCGGATGTGCATTTTTTTCTTGATCTGCAGCAGTCCGCACACACACACACATTGTTAAAATGCAGCAGGATCAGATGCCACCTGCAGTGACTGTCAGGATGCAACAAAACCAGCAAGGCCGGGGCTGTAGAGATACATACAGCTATTAAAAGAGACAGTTCTGTCACATTCTGCCTGTCTGTATTTTAGTTTAGTTATCTGTAAGTTTTGGTTATTCGTTCAGTGCGGTATCTGTTATAAAGTCTGTTGGGTTTGGGTTTCAGTCCTGTCTGTCTGTTGTCTTGTATCCAGTCTTCTCGGTGTGTGTTTGCATTTGGATTTGGTCCTGTCAGTTTGTGTCTTGTGGAGTTGATCTGGTCCTGTCTGTTTGTGTCTTGTGGAGTTTTTCTGTGTTGTTCTGTCTTCTGCTTGTTCTGTGTGATTGTGGTCTGATCTGTCCTTTTGATAGATCAGTGCCTGCCTTAGTTCTTGTCAGTTCTGTTCCTGTCTGATGTTTGTTATTAGTTTCTGTACCATTGTGCTTGGGTTCTGTCAGTCTGCTAGGTGTCGATTTATGTTCTCTGCCAGTTTCATTATTTAACTTGAGTATTTAATCTGTTCTGTCCTCATTATTAAGCTTATATATTATTCGGTTGCCTGTTTGTCTTGTTCTAGTTGGTCTCTGTGTTTTTGTTGTTTCATTCTTGGCATTTTTGCAACCTGTTAGTCTCAGTCTGTTGTCCCTGGGTTTGTTTGTAGCCTATCTGTATTGTTGGTGTTTCAGTCTGTGTTTCCTGTCATGTATCTTTTTTTGCCCTGCATTTTAGTTTTGTGTCTTAGTTAATGTCTTTGTATTTACTCCTAGTTCTGTGTTGGCATTATTTTGGCTTTGTCTGCTCTGTGTTCTGTTTATTCCTAGCTTCAGTCTGTTTTCCCTGTTGGTTGTAGTTTATTTGTGATCTGTTTGATGGTGTCTGGATTAGTTTGTTATTTATATTATTCTGATATGTTATTCTGTATGTCTTATTTTGTTATGGTCTGTGTTCTGTCTGTTACTCCAGAAGCCCTCTGTCTGCCTGTCTCGTGACTCCTGATCCCTCGCACCTGTGTTGCTCCCGCCTGCTTGTTAGTTCCGGGTGTTAAATGTTTACTGTTTCTGTTCAGTCTCTTTCCGGTCATTGTTGTATGATGAGTGTTCTGCCTGTTGCTGTACTACATGTTCTGTATTTCGGGTTTTGCCAGTTTCCCCTACCCATAACTTTTGTTCTTGCATTGTTGATTGGATTAAAACCCCCTGAACTGAACGACAGCTCTCTGGTGTCTTGCGTTTGGGCTCTCTCCTGCTTTGCATTCACCAAATCCTGTCAAGTTCACACAAATTCTATCTCGTTCCTTGTGGTGTGGTCTATCGTGTATACCATTATGTTTCTATGTGTAAATGTTATCTCAGGGACAGATATCGCTGAATTGTTGGTGCTCGCAGCAATAGAATATTATTTTAGTAAAACTGAACAGTAAAGCATCTTTCCAAAAACACCTGGAAACCAAAATGTATTCACATGTCCTTGGTGGTGCTGGAAGCTCGGTCATGTAGTGAGATGGTTCTGTTGAGTGAAAAAATAAAAGAATTTCTGTATTGAGCACCACAGACAAAATGCCATTCACCTCCATTGCATTGGTGTGGTGGAAGACATCTCAAAAAAATGAAACTAGATAGCACCAGAGGCTAAGTTAGTCACTTTTTATTAGAAATTCAAGTCTTCATTTAAACCAGAAAATTTTATATTCAAACTGTTCGGATCATAGGGACCTCAGAGATGAAGTTATCCATTTGTGATCGTAACTGAACTTTAATCTTCTGAATCATTGAACTCAGTTTCCCAGAAATCTTCTAGAAAGTCACACTTACAGATGTGGTCAAAATTGTTGGGATCCTTCTGTTAAAGAGAAAACCCCACAATGGTCCCTGAAATAACTTGAAACTGACATAAGTAATAATGTACTGAAAATTAATTAATAATCAGGCATTGCTTTTGAATTGTGGTTCAACAGAATCATTTTTAAAAACAAACTAATGAAACTGGCCTGGACAAAAATGATAGAAATAATTTGACCATAGGGACATGTGTCCTGCAATAAGCAACACAGGTGTCCTCAAACTTGTTATGAGGTTGTGTGGTGTGGGGACAGAGAGGACCCAAACGCAGCACTCTGAGGGAAGTAGGTTTCTTGAGGGAAAAAGGGGTAGAGGGACTGGAGTGGAGTGAGAGGTGGATGTTGGTGGAAACACTGGCACGGGGAACCAAGGAGACTGGGGGCCAGGGAGCCGGGGAACACTGGGGCCGAGGAAGCGAGGAGCGGTGGGAGGACAGGGAGGACGCCGTGGGGGAAGTCTGAGGAGGAGAGGACCAGTGGATGAGCCCAGCCAACTGAACGGAGGACGAGGGTGAGTGCACCTGGGTGGGAAACAGACAGAGAGACAGAGTTAGAGATGACAGAGACAAAGCACGGGGAAAATGTGAGAAAAAAAACAAGAAACATGAGAGCCTGAACGTGGAGGTGGCACCGGGTATGGAGCAACGACAATCAAGCAAGAGTGGTGTGGAGAACCGGGGTTGAAATACAGGCAGGCATGAGGTTGATTACTGGCAGGTGTGGCAGGCTGACGAGGTGGCTGATGGGATGCAGGTGCAGGTAGTTGGCTGGGCTCAGGAGCAGAGGGAGAGAGAGCACACAGGGGAGAAAACACAGGGAGGCAGGCAGGGAACAGAAAACCAAGGAAAAAGCAGAATAACTGATAAATAGGAGAAAAACCAGGACACTCACCGTCAGCCAGGCTGCCACCACAACACTTGTAATCAGTCAGTCTGCCTATTTTAAGGGTGAAAAGTAGTCACTGTGCTGTTTGGTATCA